CATTAAGTTGCTGTCTGAATGGTCCACATCACTGCTTTACCCTCACACCGAGGCTCCCCTCTTAGTGCGCCTCCCTCACTGATAGTTGAAGAGCGCTTCAAGCTTCCTCAACCACGCACCTCCCGGCACTTTTTAAAGCCCACCCCCCGCCCCCGTTGATGAGTCTCGATTCATGAACGGGCTCGATAACAATTTTTTATTATATTAAGGGCACTCATATCAAACAAGAGTGCCGAACCCACTGCCTGTTAGATAATATATCTAAGGATATTATCAACAAGCTTACTGGTAATGGTTTCCAGGTAGGTCAACCTCTGAGTTGTCCAGTGGGCAGTGGTTAATCAGCTGAACCATAGATAGGCTACATTCAGATCTAAACAGTAGAGGGAATACATAATTAAATTGACATATCGTGTAGCACTAAAACTCTCGCAGCTCAAGAATGTCTCATATGGACACTGCCATAGAAATTGAGAAATAATGTCTCTGAACTGTTTGATTGACTCAGTGCTTGAAAGCATACATTGTAGGAGCCACTGTAGCGAGAAGGCCACTTGGTGACGATTTTCCTGATCTAGGTACTTGTGTTCAGAGGGCCTAGATCAAAAGGTGCGTCTCTCTCTACTTCGAGATACGCACAGTGACCAAGTACCCTGCCAATGTCCAAGTGAATACTCCTAAGCACCAAGCTCATCCTCCTAGTTCTCCAGAAAGCGAGGACCATCAAGTTGCTAGAAGAACAAAGATGGCGGATAAATACATAAACAAATTATGAATAATGGGAAAGACATTTATTACAGAATTTAAACAGCATGAAAGACAATGTTTTTTTGGCGAGTTAACAAGATGCGCTCTCATATACTCTGGACTGAATTTCAATATCAAGATGAAGATCGAGTCATGTTCTTTTTGAGGTTCTGAACTTTTACTTCTGTAGAACTTTGCGTATGTGGCGCGGCACTTCGGATTAATCGGAAAGAGTCGCGAATCAACGGGGGAGAGCTGGGGCGATCGTAAACAAGATCTTGCGCTCGAAGGGTGAGGCGACAGAATCCAAAAACCCAGCACGATGACACGTCTGCTAAACTGACAGAGAGCACACACTCGAAAGGACGCGGGGTAGTGCGCGTGCCGTGTGTGGCAGCGCAGGCGTGGAGGAAATGGCTAAATGAAGTCGGAGTTACCCAACGCGACGCGGACGCTGTCGTTGAATACAGTTTCTTGCCGTGTTGGTCGACTTTTGTGCGTGAGTCACATGCCTCATCTGATAGAGACAGTGATGCGCTGGCTCGCCGCTAAGTTCAGAGCTGTGAAGGTGCTTGCATACTGGGTGACTGCTAGCCATTGTGTGGGAGCACGCGAGGTCTGTTGTACAATCCGAGACTCGTGCGCGAGGAGAACGTAATACGATCTGATCATGACTACTAATTCCAGCCTGCAAGAGGAGCAACATACATTCATCTTTTTTTGACTCGATGCTATATAATTCGAGATTCATTTCTGTGTATTTTTACGAGCTCAAATACATAAATACTTAGTATATGTATGTCTAAATTTTGGGACTCGCTCTATTTACTAGACCAGATTTTATATACAAAGCGCGCCACGATAAGTCAACATTGTAACGCCCTCGTATTGACATGGGTGGCTGCATCAATGCAATGCGTGACATTATCATCCTAAACATACATTGATACGTGAAGCTGAGCACCTCAGTCATAGATACTGTCTTGCTGTTCCTGCAGAGCATTGTGTGTAAAGCAACTTGCTAGAATCTCTATCTTGAGTTGTTCTCTCAGAGCCTTAGGAAGGCCCACTGGGAATAGGTAAGTTTAAGTTGAAGAGCCCGTAGACTGACTCTAAACTGGATTACTCGAAGAGAGGAAGTGAGCCAATCATGAACTAGAGTGCTGCCAACAGAGTCCTGGCCGTGATTCATAGTGCCCGAAGTTTGATGCTAAATATTCATCTCCCATTTTCTTCCTAGAACAGCTCATTTGAACGAGATTGTTAGCCCATTACAATGATTTGTACATATAGATCTCTGCTTCCTCTTCTTAATCTCTTCTTATGTTCTCTTCTCTTCCATTACTCTCTCCCCTAATACAACACGTTATATATATTAATAAAGCATCTAATAGACAGGTGCTTGGTACCTATTGAGCTTTCATACAAATATAGCAACTCATTAGTCTCCCGCAAATCAATTAACTAACTTTATCGACACAAACCTACGCATGGGATCCTAGATCACACAAAATGAACAGAACCATTTAGGGATAATTGACTGTTCTTACCTTGGACGGATGAAGCAGAGCGCGTTTGCCGCAGGTGCGCTCTCAGGCAGCGGATATGTCAACTAGCTCCAGAACATTCGTCGAGCAGTTCTAACATCAGGGGAAGGACAGCAGGTGGAGCTCGCCCGACATCTTAAACCTAGAAACACAGGTGCAAACATCGGAACAAATGATTGTGTCTGTTGGGGCCCTACATTCACAGCAAACTATGAAGATAACAGGATGTGATGGAAAACACTTCAACCGTGACTTGCATGCGAGTTCTGTGCACGACCATCGCCCTGCATGTAATAACCAACGTTGAGATCCACCGGCTCCAGAGATGTGCAGCGGTGACTGGTTTCTGCTTACGAACGAACCATTTCCAGTCCCAATCGCTATACACAACAAAGAACCATGATAGCATTTCCTTCTTTTCACAGCAAATTGAAGACAGAAGCTTTCCAGATACTTTTCCTGATTCTCCATTCATATAATCCCTCAATACTAGAATGTCCTAAATTCCAGGTCCCTCTGTTTTCTAGGCGTACAACAACCAACAAGGCTCCAAGAGTTAACACACGCCTACCACATATCATACACAAAAGTATCCAGTGAAGGTGGCATGGTCGCCTCCTGTGTGTAGTACCTGGTTTGCTATAAAGAACTGCAGGCTGCTAAGCTGTATGTCAAAGCTGTGTCGCTAATGCTCGGACCATAATGTCTTCAAATGTTGCTGGTGCCCACTGACAGGCTGAGCAGTTCTTCTTGCTTTGGACTGGACATTCGTGAAATGACAACACAATTGAAATGTTTAAACTTTTAGTACTCTAAAGTCTTCAGATTAAAGTATTTGTCAAAAAGGCTCTTTCTTACAGTTGTGTTAGGTTGCCACGTTCAGCCCCACTGTTACGTCTTTACAGCTCGTCTGACCTGGAAATGTCCAAAATCCCAAAAGTAGGATGTTTTGAGTGCCGTTGTAGAAGCCGGTCTGTGAATGACATGACATAGGAGGCCACAGTTCACCTTAGGTCCAGAAAGCTTTCTGTGTTTCGATCACATACATCAGACCTAAAAAACAAAGCAAGAAGTCCGTTAACTTTAATGTAGCAAGGACAAGAAAAGACAAGGGATCCGCTCTGGGTGATCAAATACAGAAGACTTTCAAGACATAACAAAGAATGCATTTGTATAGAAAACATCTTTGATAACATTCATTCTCAGCATAATGCTGTAAAAATGTGCTAGGTATGTTTCTGCACGATACATTAAAATTATGTAACCTAATTACTTATTCCATTTCAAACATTCTAACATTGTAGTGTTCTAAAGGAAGGGTAGCGTTTGCTTTGTGCATTTGTAAAAAGGAAAGCCAAGCTTAAATCTCAGGCAAACAGATCTCAGTGAAAGAAGGAAGTAACAGGAACACCACAAGTTCAACTGACTTAGAGGCGGGCCCGCGAGGCTATGGTGAAGCATATGGAAAGGAAAATCGACCCAGGTTAAAAGAGGGGGCCGAGGAATGGCTCATGTCTGCCCATCAAGGTTGGAGATCACGGCTATGGTCAGTTCCTTGTTGTTATGCTACATGTGTGTCCACTACGGTGGATGTGGCGGTCTCTAAACGCTTGCTCGCAGTTTCATGAGCGGTTCGTTGGTGAGCTCATCCAGCTGCAGGTCATCGGGGCAAGAGACGGCGTGACATGCTGTCACCGTTATCTACAGAGACAAAACCCACCAGACAATATAAATGACTCTACAACTTTTCGATGTTCTATTTCTATATGTAATGCTACGGCGTCATGCATGCCGACAGGACACCACTCACAGCGTCATAGCAATGATTTCCAAGGGTTGTGATTCCACATGAAGCCGCTGGTTGGCGCTTCTCATCCAGCGGTTGGTCTCAGAACAGGATCTGCAGAGGAAAGGGGGGCGGGGTCCCGCGTCTGTGGCGGCCTTCTGGACGACAGGAGGGTCGGTGCGGGCCGGTTACTTGGCTCAGGCCGGTGACTTCAAACAAGCTGAGCTGGGCTGTGGAGTTGCAAAAAGATAATAAATGGTGATTCCCAATATCAGGCATCCGTGATAGAAGAAATCTTACTGTCAAGACTGAGAGCTCGGAGCCAGTGGCCCTTGCTGTGAGAGGGCCCACCACCTCAATTCTTAAACACAACGGATTATTGACAAGATGAACTGCTTTTCTTCCGGAAAAGATTGTCCCACTCTTGACCCTAACAATCACATCGGCACCTCTGTGTTTCCCCGACTCAGACTGCAAGGAATCTGGGTGTGATCCTAGATTACAGAACTTCCTTCCACTGCAAACATCGTTAACAACCGCTGCTGCAGATACCACGCTTACAACATCAGGGGACGCATACGTCCCCAGTCTGACCCAGAAATCACGAGTTCTGCGTCCAGGCCCTCGGCATCTTCACGCCTAGGACTACTGCAACTCCCTCCTGGCTGGTCTACCTGCATGTACCATCCGACGTCTGCAGCTCATCAGAATGCAGCGGCTCGTCTTGTCTTCAACTTCCTAAATTCTCCCACCACCACGGCGCTCCTCCGCGTCCCTCACCTGTGCTTCCGGAACTGCTAGAAATCCACTTCCAAGGAGCACTGGTACTTGCGTACCATCTGTGAAATGGATCTGGCCGCTTCCTACATCCAGGGACATGGTTAAAACTGTACCCCCAGGTCGTGCACTCCGGCGTCTGCATCGCCCAAACAGCTCGCTGCACCCGCACTGCGAGGGGGACCCAAGTTCCCATCAGCAAAAACACGTGGGTTTGCTATCCTGGCTCCAAAATGGTGGAATGAGCTCCCCATTGAAATCAGGACAGCAGATAGCTTACACATCTTCCGGCGCAGACTGAAAACTCATCTCTTTCGACTCCACTTCGAGCGATTGAATTACTAACAAAGCACTTATATACTAATAAAGGGCTGTCTTATCTAAAGCCAGTTGAGTAGCACTTGAAATGTTTGGCTCTATGAAACCTGATGTACTTATATGATTCTGTTTTCTTCAAGGTTGTATCTTCCCGGTCGAATGCACTTATTGTAAGTCGCTTTGGATAAAAGCGTCAGCTAAATGTAATGTAATGTAATATTAGTTCCAGATAGTTCTACATGACTGAATACATAGTTATGAAAATTATATATTCAATTCCTGCCAATGAATCCCCACTCCCAATAAATCATACACAGCGGCCCTTTAAATATATATACTTGTTTTTATTTGTATTGAAACGGAAACAAAGGTGCTTGTGCTGAATGTTTTTTTTACTCAAAATCAATTGAATATTGTGTGTTTTCAATGGAGCCTCTTTAAAACATTAAATACAATCAATGTTATGAAGGACCCCCCCTCCCCACGCAAAAGAAAAGGACCCACTTGATGGCTTGCGCTCCAGGTCTCTGAGTGAGTGTGGACTTGAGCTCTCCCACAGTCAGCCTGATGATCTCATCTTTGTCCTTGTTGTCAGTGATGGACACAGACAGCCTCTCCATGTGGAAATAGACCTTCATGTCCTCAAACTATAAATAAACAACAACATAGTTCATAATTAAAGTATCTGATACAGTTTCTGCTATTTGATCTTTGTTTGTGTGGGTTGGAGAGCCAGACTTTAGTGTATTATTCTTTGACTGGTGGGTGTCAGGGGGAAGAGACTCACATTCTTTGGCAGGTTGGGATTTGCAGCGGTGTCACTGTATCCGATGGCAGTGTAGAGTTTGGATTTCTCAGCGTAGGTTAACAGCTCATCAAAACCTTAAACGGAGAGAAAGGGCAAGAGGGAATACGTGGAATAGAAAGAATGTGAGGAGTAAGAAAAGCCAATAACATAGAGTGTTTTTACAAACATACACTGGAGCACTTTGCTTTGGTCCTGTTATCATTATCTTTTATAATGTCTGGCTGGTTTTTCTTTTAATGGGTTACCTCCAGTCTTGACCTCTTTTGTTTCTGATTCGGCCTCTCCTCCCATATTCCACATCCAGCTCAACCAGCCCTGAGACTCCTCCTCCTCCATCTTAAGCCCTGGACGGAAAATTCGTAGACCTGCTTTGCTTGCCTGGGAAAGTAAAAAAAGACAGTTGGCAGCTTGAACATTTTTTAAATATAATATATTATTTATTTATTTTTCAAATGTTGGCAGTACAAATTGCATTATGAGTCATATTCAAATGTATCCAAGACAAAATATTATTTAACAAGCCGCCAATATTTATATGCAGTATTTTGTAAAAATTGCAGTCTATAGCAAAAATAGGTGCAGTAAAGCTAAGACTATGTAAAACTCACAGGTGCATCGTGAGTGCCTAATCCTTCAGCACTTCAGTCTAAACTTAGACCACAAGATGCCAGTGTCAATAACTGTCAGCACTTCAGTCATATGATGGTTGAAACTTGCTTTCAAATAATGAATAGTACCGAGTATAATTTATATGTCTTTTGTAACCCATTAGCATGATTGGAAATGTATGTATTCATCACTGTTTTGCTGTATCTGTGGAAAGTATAACGGTTGAAAGGATCTTAACAGTTTAGCATAATTTGTTAGCTACAGTGCTGCAGACATTACAATTTACGCTACAGATACAGTACAGAGTAGAATACAGTTCACAAGGTGAAACAGAGCTTACCTCCACCTCCGCCTGCTGTCTGGCCAACGTGATGTTAAAAATATCCAAGGTCTTCTCAGTCCCCTGAGAATAGATACAAGACACGCTCAGTAGCTTTTAGCGGCTTCTTGCTACATCATGCAGGAATGCATTGATTCCTTATTGTTCATTATTAATCACATCAGGAGGAGATTATGCTTACAGAGCAGAGGCAGAGGAAAATACATTTAGGTTTAGAGATGTATCTCTCTGCAGTACATAACCTCAAATGCAATTCGATCAATCCTTCTAAAGTGGGTCATTATGGCTGGAACAATGCATCACTTGAATGATTTTGAGAAGGTAATTAACTAGTTGCATATTATATTACATTTACCTTTCATACAGGCAATAAATGATGGTCACTGAAGCCAAGTAAGTATTGTCAGTGTACATTTAGGCAGAAACTGCAGGTCTGAACTTCAATAGGAAATATTTTCCAACAAGAAATACATTTAGAGAGCCACATAGGTTTATAATTCAAGGCCACACATATAATCAAGTTACAATTACATTTTCTTCCTACTTTGGCCTCTTTCCTAAAAATTACTCATTTCAAATTCCTTACATTTAAATAATACTTAGTGGCATGACAGATAAGGACTTTTTAAAGCACGAAAAAAGAGCTAGATAAATAATATTGGTTTATGGAAGAAGTGTAATAATTGTATCGTGCTGAAATCAATGCATCATGATGCATGAAAAGAGGTTGGATGAGGGAGAAACTACTTTCTATCTCGAACTTGGCAACATTGAAAGAAAAATACTCCTTAAATCATATGAGGCTGTCAGTGCTTCAAATATGAGGATATTAAGAGATACAAATAGAGAACTTGATATCTCCCCCTCCTCCCCCTGTCCGATCTGTCCAGCTCTCTCTCACCTTGAGTGCCTTGAGCAGGTCCTCGTTGGGTTTCTTGCAGGTGATTTTGTTCTTGTACAGCTCTCTGTAACACTTGATCGTCTGCCGGTGAATGCGAATGTGCTGCCAGGACCACATCTGGAGACGAGGTTTGACATCCACCTCCAGGACGCTTGTGATCATGTACTTCCACCTGCAAGAAGGGAACGTCGATGCATAAATTCAACTTCGGAATCGACAATACTAAAGTTGTAAAATGTCACATGTCATTTAGCATTTAAAAACCAAAGTCAAATGTTAAAAGTGTTTTCTGACCATATGCAGGCATTTCTGTGAACCTGGACCTCGGGTCTGTACTTCCTGTACGGGAGATTGCGAGACATCAAATCCACTGAGCCCAGCAGCCCCAGGATGCTAATGTACTGGAAAGAGAGGAAGGTAGCAATTACACATGTGCAAAGAGTCCTGACAGATATGCAGTTATCATCACTGAACAGCTCTTTAACGATTTACCCCTTGACATTTTGAATTCATTTTATTCTCTATTTCTCTTCCTTTCTCTCCCCTAAAAAACGTTTTTTTTTAAACAGGCTTTTCCTTTTACATAGACAAGTTTATACACTACACACAAACTTACCTGGGGTCTGTTGAGTTCAATGGCCACCTCACTGAGATGGACCATCAGGTCCACTTTAGGAGAGGAAAAGTCCACATCTGACCTGGGATTCATCCGCAGTTTAGCGGCCGCTGAGATAGGACGAAAAACTGTGGAGCAGCAACATCATATTAGAAGCAAACTGTTAACATTAAGGATATTCTTATACACTTTACATTTGTACATTGATTTATGAACCTGTATTTTAGTGGGATATAAACTTTTAAAATACTTTTTCAATTGCAAAGTTCTCCCTTCAAAAATGCAAAAGCTTGTGCCAGCAATAGAAACTCAAAAGTGCTGAAATCTGTTCAAATATGTTGGTGTTGATGGTGTGACTCACACATTGTTGGTGAACCACAGTGTAAGCGCAGGCCATTACGTCCCAAGAGCCACTTCACATTTTACAAGAAAACTACTGATTTATGTGTGCGTAGTAAAATGTGGCTTCATTAGGAGGGCTATACAACATTTTCAAAGTGTGCATATTAAATAACAGTATAAAAATTGAAGACATTTAGATACAGTTAGATACTCACTGAAGTCATGGCTGATTGAAAGAGAGTTCTGTGCGTCGATGCTGCTCTGCAGACATTGCTACAAAAATACAAAGGTAAAGGAACTTCATTTACATTTCATATGTTATCATTACTCATATTCTTAAATCTCATTGAATCTCTATGTGTTAATGCCTTAACAACATCCAGAATTAAATCATCACTACAAAACAATAATTACCATTGGCCGTATTCTAGGGAGAGTCTTTGTGCATTAGATGAAAGGTTTACTTAATCTGCATCAAACTCAGAGGCATTTGCAGAAGTCTTTTGACATTTCTACCAAGAACATTTAAAAGCAAAGGCTTTCAAAGGATTTAAGAAAAAAAAAGGTTACATTGAATCTATCCTGCTGCTTGAAAGTGACGACTGGCACGTTAAGAGTGTTATTCATGCCTACAATAATGCTGAATAAAAGAGACTATGGCTTGACTAACACAGCGTTAATTGTGATACTCACCAAGGCTTCCTCTGCATTGTGATTGGAGAAGAGTAAAGAGTCGACATTCCAGTAGGCAAACAAGTTGTCTAGTTGAACCAACTGAGAAGAAGGCAATTAGAGTAGTTCAGATGCTTACCATGAGAAACATATCTGACAGTGTACAATGATTTCAAAGGTTTGGACCATAGACTGTATATATAAAGGTTTGGACCCAAAAGTGGGGTTATTAGTAAATATGATCGATTTCCAATTGCATACATTTTTCGGGTACAGATATAGCTCATCTGATTACATGGTTGAATTTCTCACCTTGAAGAAAAGTCGGGAATTCTCATCCAAAAGTCTGGGATTCCATTTCTCATCACATGTCTGGAGAAGTCAAACAAACGGTGTTAAAATTGTATTATATAATGTTTAAGTTTGAACTAAGAATTCACGACTAGTAACGCCTTAATTACTGAATGTTATTAGGATACAATCTAAAAGGAGGGACCTTAAAAAAACATTACCTGAAGACTGAGGTTTTTAAGTGACACTCCAAATGACAAGGGGCAGTTTGGATTGGTGACCTGTGGAAAAGAAAACCGTTGGGGATTACGTCTTTCTCTCTGTGCTCATCAATTACTGCTTACAAAAACAAATGTGAGCAACGCTGTTCAGTCATACCCATAAGTGAGGTAACTCAGGGTTGAATACTCACATCATCTTCATAGCGCACATGGATGTTAGAGATCTTAACTTGCAGGTTTTTGATGACCTGAGTGACCAGCTTCTCCACAAAGGTGTCCTGTTTTTCAACATCTGGATTCTCTGTCCAACAGAAACAAATGTTATCAATATGAGACGTAAACGAGTCCTGCAACGCACCTGAAGCTTAACTTTAGGAAACAGACCTCTGAGCTCTCTGATAACAAAGTGTGACACAATAATGATATAAAACCTTGTAACAATGCTTTGTCATCTCACCAGAAGTAGGTTTTAACTTCTATTTTTAGAACACACATTGACAAAAAAACACACGCCAACACACACCTTGCTCAGCAGCCTTCTGCTTTGTCTCCTCTATCCGCTGTAGCTCCCTCTGACGAGCCTCCTGTAGCTGCTTCTCCTCCTTTTCTGCATCATACTTTATGCCTGGAAAGAATTGGGTGAATAGAAATGATTATCCATCTGCACATTGAAAACAATTAACTGTACAGAAGGTGGTGCTTGAGTTTCCTGTTTGTCCTGACAAGTACTTTAGGGTCATGAATAAGTCAGAGACCCTCTTTGTCTGACTTCTGTTCTACAGTGCGTTGTGTGTGCTAGTCATAAGGGTCATTCAGGAGGGTTGACATTGATAAGACTGATATTTTAAATGCATTTAGAGGCAAAGATGTTAACTGTGTTTTCCTTCTGACATTGACATACAGCAGTTAATATCCTTTAGGAACTGTATTGGTCAACTGAAATGGTGGTAATAATCAGTATACACTATAATGTCTATGATGATGATGAATTAAATCTCATATTTGATACATGCTATTCATCTTACTTGCTGTGGGGACTATGAGTAGATAGACCCCATCCAGTGTTGCCTCTACAGACTGTGTGTACAGGTTCTTCCATGGGATCTTTAGCTCAAGCCGTCCTGTTAACAGAAACACAAAGTGAGAAAACCTTCTTCTCCATAGAAAGGAATGTTTTAAATCGGGACGCCAACTACAATCTCACCTATATGACCGGCTCTCACTTTAAAAGGAATGTCAAGTTGACTCTGTAACAAAAGAAACAGTTTACTAACGCACATAACACATAATGAATAAATAACAGACTCATTTTGCAAATGTATTAGCAACTTACCAAGGCATTTTCCTTTATTTCAAGATTTCTAAGAACAGCATCACCTGTGATCAAATGAGTATTTGTTAACTGATTGTTACTATGTACATTCTGATGAACAAACAGATTAGTATTGAATTGTGGCTCATAGAAACACAGTCCGGTCAACAGAGCGGTATTTGACCTTAGTATCGATTTAATTCAACGCTCAGAAAACGTAATATAAAAGCCTTGCATTGCAGGGTTTGGTAAAACGAGAGTATACGCAGTGGTTAAACTGGTCTACTAGTTGCTACAAGTTTGTACATGTTTAGCTTTGGCTCGGAAAGCTCTCTTCTAATCCCCTAATTTGCGCGGACAGTGTGCAGAGCTGGGAGAATCAGACTCGATGGCTGAGCTTTTGAAACGGAGTCAGTATGAAACACAGTCTGAACCACAGACTGTCACATGGCTCTGTGGAAGGGTGTGACACCGAACTGCTTCTCTGAAAGTACCACTAAGCAAACATCCCTGTCGTAGAAAACAAGGTACGTTATTAAAAAGGTAATTGTAGCATTCACAAATGAACACTGTTAACTGATATACCGGTACATAGTGGACAGTTAACGAATAAATACCCAGACTGACGCTGACAGCTGGAAGCCTCACACGAGTGGTGACTAACGTCTCTTAGCATTAGCTAGCTAGCTTGGCGAGCGAGCTAGTCCACGGAAATGACAAACACAAGTTCACTTACCTCCCCATATGGCAAGCTTTAGCTGTGAGCAGTCAAGGTTGACAACGTAGTCCCCTAAAAATCGGTTGAGGACATCAACCACCAAGCTTTCGAAGACCATGTTGGCGTTTCTCTCATCTACTTGTAACCATGTTTACATTCTGTCAGGCGCTTGCGCTTGCCCACTGCCCAGTCGCCAGATTAGGACGTCCCGATGTGGGCGGGACTTTGACGTCATGCCGTACCTGCAATACGATTGGTTTCTAAAAAGATCACTCCCTTATGCAACTCTTGGAAAGAGGGGACACGATGATAAGTAGGCAGTAGGCTAAGTGGCTTTATGTGGGATTTTATTCCACAGTTGCAGTCCTTAAATACATTTGTATTTGTTTATCCTTTGTTTATTTAGCCAGAAAGTTCTCATTGACTCAAAAGGTGTCCTTCTCCAGGGTGTTCTGGTCAATAATGCAGCATAAGTAATCACATGCAATTAACTTGTCATATTCAAATCAATCATCCAGTACAACACTTAAATAGCCCTTATTTATATGATTCCTTCCTAAAAGTTATAATAGCTGAATCCAGACTAATGTTGCTTTATTTTGCCGGAAGAGGCGGTTTGGCAGCCATGAATATAAGGCGGGGTTTATGAAAAACGCTAAAGGAATGCACGGTAAAATGTCTCCTATGCTGTATCCAGTTTTCTTAAAATTCTTACTTTGTGTGTAGCCTACTTATCCATACCACTCTTTAAAAAAAACGTGCGGTAAGCGTTACAAATGCACACTGCTGCAACACTGGGCAAGAGGGAACTGAGGTAAATACACTTTAAGTAAATAAATCATGTATTTTCTTTTATTTGGTCTTTATCCTTTATTAAGCCAAAAATGTCCTGTTGATATATACATGGTGGGAGAAGTACTCAAATCTTGTGCTTTTGTAAAAGTAGAAATAGCATATTAGTATAACTCCAAATCTATTAGCATAAAAATATACCAAAAGTTAAAGTACTTATTAGGCAAATTGGTCCATTTCGGAATAATATGATAAGTTTTCATTATTATTGTTGATGCATTAAAGTGTTATCAAAGCTGGTAAAGTTCAGCTAGTTTTAATGACTTTGTATGCTGCAGGGTAGCTTGTGAATTTACTCCAGGTGTAACTAAAGTCTTGTATAAGTGTTGTTTATATTTCACATTAATCATCCAAGTATGCAAAGTAACTAAAGGTATCAAATAAATGTAGTGGAGTAAAAGGACCCAATTTTAGAGTAGAAGTACGAAGTAGCATAACATGGAAATACTCAAGTAAGGTACAAGCATCTCAACATCGTACTTAAGTACAGTACTTGAGTAAATGTGCTTAGTTACTTCCCACTTCTGGTCGTGGTCAAGACGGCAGCATTCACGTTAAAACTATTTCACATGTTAGAACCATAGCGGTACTTAGTGTAGAACACACAGAACACATAAAAGCAACACAAGCAAAATAGTAAAAGGAGATGGGCATACAGGACATACCAGTGATATCATTAACACATTCCACTAATGTCAAGCATTGTGCAATACAGCAACATGTTTCCTTCAGGACAGTTTCTACAAGAACTTAAAAGTCTAATAATTATGTTAATTGTCAAACATTATGAACATTTTCTCTTGCTAGAGAGACAGGTGAAACCGGATATCTAAAACAAGGTACAGTAACCTCACATGAACATGCTATATTTGACACTGCAGTTTGACTTACATGTATGGTTTAATACCAAAAATACATTATACAGTATACTGTATACACTTTTAAATACTCTCCATTGTGGTAGCCTTACTATCTTGAAAATTATAACACGACAGCTGCGAAATGCTCATACAACCTTCACAAACTATTTTATTTTTAACGTCCCTCTCTTTAACCTGTCTTTCTTTGTACACTGTGTCATATTTATATCATGTGCTGTCCACTCTCCAAATGACACAAAATGAGTTATTCATCTATGCGTTTTTTAAGAGGAAGTAACTCAGACAGTGGTATTGTTACCGCTCCAATGACTGTTCCTCTCCTCATCGCACCAGCTGCAGGTTTACCCACTACTTTCAACCTGAGCTGCAGCTCCTGCAGATCCTCTCTTCTGAGCTCTGTAAAGAAAAAATCTTCTTTAAACACAGGGTTGCGGCAGTTCCTGATGGTGGCGCCCTCCTGTTGCTGCAGCTTCCCTGGGATCAGACACAAACTCACTGCACAGTTCAGGGTTCGTCGGTGGTCACTATCATCCCATAGGCCTTCCACAGACTCCACACGCACTCTGACGGTGGAAAGGGATAAAAACGTGTTGGTGGAGAATGTGGTGTGCTCAGCATAGAGGTGCACTCTTCCTCTGCCCTGCAAAGTGAAGACGTGTTCGTGCTGAGGTCTTTCCTGGCACTGCAGGACATCCAGCGGGAAGAGAGCAGGTGGAGCTAAGGTGAGTGAGCTGCCCTCTAAGCTCGGAGGGCTGCTGTGTGATGTTGTTAAACTTAAACCCCCCCTCTTCAACCTCACTCTGGTCTCCCTGCTGTTAATCAGCGACGGGCAGGATTTTGCTCCTTTAAGATGGCCACTGCCTGGTGGTAAGTAGAGGGAGGGCTTAGGACTATAAGGTGAACTAAGGGGAGAGGAGTCACTGGAAGAAGGTGTTTCACTTCCTGTGCCTCCTGTCTCTGAGAGACTCTTGGATGAGAACAGAGGGAGAAACCCCAATAACGTTTTCTTTGGCAGGTTTGTCACTTTTGCCAGTCTGGGTGGTGCAGTAGGACGGCTTCTATCAAACAAGTAAACAGGGCGCTTTGAGTGGAACAAAGACTCTTTTCTTCGAGTGTTGGGGCTCTCAAATATTCCAGTCAGACCATACCCCTCTGCAGAGAATGGCAACGGTTTCTTTGTATTCCTCCAAGCCATTGGTGCATCTATATTCTTCTTCCTCAGGTCCTCTGTCTTTACATATGAAGAGTGTGACAAGGTGCTGCTTCTCTTGCAGAGCCTAGGGGGCAGGCAGAACTCTGGGATTTTGTCTGGTGTGAGGATGTTGTTGTGCAGATTGTGAGAGAGACTGGCTTTAGAAGAAAGAAAGATGTCCTCCTCACTCGTCCCCATGTACCGGCTCAGCTCTAGAGGAATGCTCTCCATGCTCTCCCTTATCTTCTCAAAGACCCACATATTTATTTTCTGATGATTTTGTACGAAGTGACGTCCAATCCTTTTTCCTTTTGCAAATAGAATGAAATGAAACATATTATTTTAGTAAATCAACCAAACAGTGCACAAAACAGAACACATATTTCAGAATTAGAAAAAGTTCAAGTTTATTTTAAATGGTGAAATGACATTATCTCCTTACCTGCTGTGGTCTCGATGCGTCCACCTTTGAAGAAAGATCTGGGTCTGTGACAATGACTTGACAACGATGGTTTTAAAGGTGAGGGTAAGGCTCTGCATCACTGGTTCGTTGCCTCTGCCTGCGTCAGAAAACAAGCCGCACGTACATACACACAACTACACACAGTGTATCAAGTCACTCAGTGTCTGCTGGAGACTGGGTGGGTGGGTGGGAAATCAGAATCGGGTGCATTGACACGCATTTAGCCATGCTTCATGAACGTAGAGGCATCTTTCCCATTGATAGAATTGACGTCAACACTGAAATGTATTAATGCCCATTGTACTGAATAAACAGCACAAAAAACAAAGCAAATGTCGTGGTTACTTAAATTCCACTTTAACATGCAGCATTCACATTTAAAATACTATTTGAATATTGGCAAATTAAAACTTTGATACAATTACATTTTTATATCTGCAGTCCAAATGTAAGGACATCTTGAGTTTTAATATTAATAATACACCACTAAAAGATTAAATAGTATGACATTATAAGTTTCTTTCCTTTACTTATTTTTTTATTTAGCTTAAAACACATTGAAGTGTAACTTGATGTTACCATGAAACGGAAGTATAATCTGCTTTTAAAGAAGCTGACCTCGGTTCAAAGACAGGAGCGTGCAGGCCCGTAGAGAGCACCCCCCACCTCAAAGGCCCATTGACCTTAAAACAGCTGGCTGCCCGGACACATAACTGACGTGGTTTATACCAGGCAACAACAAGTTATTGTAAAAAAATCTTTCACATATTTTCAAATAATTCAGGGAACATGTGATTTTGTGTTAATGAGACCAATACTATTTATAGTTAGTTTAACAAACACCTTTTTATTATTATTTGAACATGACAGATGTAAATATATCATATTTGCATACTTGGCTCCTTTACACCCAGCTGAAAGAAATGTGACCTTAAAACGTTTTTGTTTGTTACTTTCTGCAAAAATTGTAACTGTCTTTTATTGGCACTCGTGGAGAAATTGTCTTCCAAATTGAATTCAGAATCCATTAAATTGCATTCATCTTGTTTAATGTGGAAGTGCTGATAAATGATGATGATGTATTTCTGATCATTCTTACCACATTCATTTAATCTAGTCTAGATGATTTTGTTGTTTCAGTTATATTGCCTAAAATCCACTAATCCATAAAACAGTTCTATCCAACAACATCTGTCATGTTGGTAAGACTTTTTCTAAACCTCACTATGTGAGTAATGGTTTATTTCATGTTATCGAACGCTGGCATTTTATACTCCGACTCTACACAGCTGAGGCCAGGCTGCTGAACTTGAAGGCCATTTACACAATGTGAGTACTTCCACCACAAGAGGGCGTAAAAGGATTAGATTAACTGTCAGACAACCTTAGACATCAGTGAAAAATAGTTATGAAATTGCATATTGATTATTAATATTACAGTTTCAAAAGAATTATTTAGAGAAATTAAAATCTAAGTTTAAGTGAAATTGTTCCAAGTCCACATTTTCCTTGCTTCATTGAAATTATCCTTTCCTATTGTTCTAATTAAACTGTAATAGAAAAACAACATTCCTGCCTGGATGCTTGCCTGTTTGCATGCAGTGTGTGTGTGACATCGAAGTTATATTTTCATAAGGAGTCCGGGGCCCGCAGAGCACAACAGGGTCAGGAGGCTTTTCATGATAGTGAAGATCGACTTCATTACACCAATAAAAAACTAGAGTGCTCTCTGTAATGGAGAGATAAATGATTGGGAGTCAGAGAAGGACCTTTGCCTTTAACCACTGTCACAGC